AACAGCGTGGCCGGCTGCCCCCAGACCGAGGAGATATGCAACAATCAGGAGTCCACGTTCCGTTGCTGGGAGCACGGCACCTGCGTGGGAAGCTTCGCCGAGGCCAGATGCCAGTGCAACCCGGGATGGACCGGGCCTGGGTGCATGACGCCCACCATACCAACCACGTTCAAGCCGCAGAGTTACGTTAAGTACGCCTTGTCCTTCGAGCCGGATAAATATTCCACCCAAGTGCAACTGAGATTCCGAACTCGAGAGGTCCACGGCGAATTGTTCAGAGTAAGCGACCAGCACAACAGGGAGTACGCCATCTTGGAGGTATTTATCGATTTTAATGATAATAATAACTTGAAACAAATCGAAGAATTTCGTCGAGAAAACAATTTTTTCTAGATCAAGGACAGCAGACTGCACTTCCGCTACAATTTGAACAGTCTGAGAACCGAGGAGAGGGATATATGGTTGACGGCGATAGCTGTGGACGATGGACAGTGGCACACGGTTAGAGTGTCGAGATACGGATCGGCCGCCACGTTGGAGTTGGACGGGGGGGAAGGGAGAAGGTTCAACGAGACCTTCTCCTTCGAGGGGCATCAGTGGTTGTTGGTGGACAAGCAGGAAGGAGTTTTCGCTGGTGGCAAGGCTGAGTACACGGGGGTAAGGACGTTCGAGGTGTACGCCGATTACCAGAAAGGTGAGTGAGAGTTTTTTTTCTTTTTAAATTTTTACGATCGTGCGGGGAAGAGATGGGGAAGAGATGATCCTGATTGAAAAGAATCGATCCGTCCCGGAAATAGGATGTCTCGACGACATAAGGTTGGAGGGGAAGCATCTCCCGTTACCACCCGCCATGAATGGAACGCAATGGGGTCAAGCGACGATGGCCAGAAACTTGGAAAGGAATTGTCCCTCGAACAAGCCCTGCGCGAACGTCATTTGCCCGGAGCCATTCGAATGTATCGATCTTTGGAACGAGTACGACTGCACGTGAGTGTAATCGACCATTTTAACGGGTTGCGATTCGATTGTGCGAATTGTACGAATGCTCTTCTGCTCTCTTAGATGCGGGGAAGGGAGGATTCCGTCGCCCGACAATAAAGGATGCATGGACAAGAACGAATGTATAGATTATCCTTGCCTGAACGGTGGCAGATGCATCAATCAGGATCCTCGCTTCCGGTACAGATGTATCTGTCCGGATGGCTTCTGGGGGGAGAATTGCGAGCTCGTGCAAGAGGGGCAAACGTTGAAGCTCAGTATGGGAGCTTTGGCGGCTATTTTGGTTTGCCTTCTGATCATTCTTGGTACGTTGGTCGCGAGGAGGGGATCTCTCATTCTCTCACGGAATCAATTAAAATTATTATTCGTTATTATTTCATTTTGCAGTTCTCGTCTTGGTATTCGTCGTATACAACAGGAGAAGAGAATCTCATATTAAGTATCCCGGACCCGATGACGACGTAAGAGAGAATATCATCAACTACGATGACGAGGGTGGCGGAGAAGATGACATGACCGCGTTCGACATCACCCCCCTTCAAATTCCTATTGGCGGTCCGATACCGGAAATGGGTGGAAAGCTACCACCGTGTAAAATACCCTGTGAGTCGTTTCTCTTTTTTTATTTCTTTCTTTCTTTTTTTCTTTCTTTTTCTCTTTCTTTATTTCTTTCTTTCTTTTCTCTTTTCTTTCTTTCTTTTTTCTCTTTTTCTCTCTTTTTTTCTCTTTTTTTCTCTCTTTTTTCTTTCTCTCTTTCTTTCTTTCCTTTTTTCTTTCTTTCTCTTTTTTTATTCGTGATCCATCTTGGATGGCATTTTCCGCGAGATATCCAATATCGTTTTGATTCCTCGTTTTCCAGATACGCTAGGACCGGAACCAAACGTAGGCATATTTATAGAGGATCACAAAAAGAGAGCCGACAGTGACCCTAATGCGCCACCATTCGACGATCTTCGAAATTACGCGTACGAGGGTGGCGGAAGCATCGCAGGCTCATTGTCATCGTTAGCTTCCGGTACGTGGTATTCTTCGTAACGAAAAAAATTAATGATGTAATTATATTCACGGATATTAATAAAATTCATATAACTAAATATAAATCATTCTTATATAACAATAACAATTTTAAAAGGAATAAATTGAAATATAAAATCCAAATATTTTATCAGACTCCTTTCGATTTTCAATATATTCTAAAATTTTTCGTCCTATATAATGTTAAAAACAAGCAATTTTCAATCGATTGAAAACAATTGTTATAATATTATAAATAAAATTACTTAAAATTCAAATTATTATTTATTATCATTTCGTAGAAAAAGAATATTCGAGAATACTCGAGAATTAGAAATTTCTTTTTTTTAACGAGCAGGAACCGACGACGAGCAGCACGAG